CTTTTTTTTTTTTTGGTATGAATTTTAGCAATTTGAAATCATATGTCTTATTAACAGCCTGCATTTGTACCGAGATGAAGAAGTTGATACTATATGTTTAAACTGCTAGAAAATTATCAAATTTCAATTAGAATATATTTTCAATACAACTAGAATATATTTCATTAACACTTAACCTTTCCAAGCCCTAATTTTTCTCTCATTCCCTCTTTCTCTCTTCCGTTGTCGCGCGTCAGCTTCGTCTTCCAACTACCTTCATCAGTAATCCCCGGGCCCTTTGCCAACGGTCGGCCCTTGGCCTCACAGTCTTGGTCTTGATGCGCATCCCTTTGTCTCAGTTTGCATTGGGTGTTTGGTTCGTCTCTCACGGTTGGTCTCCATCGGTCTAGGGTCGTCTGCCTCCTTGTGTTTGCGATGGCAATTATGGTGGCTTCAGGGGCTAGGCGTGGCTCGGGTGATTCGCATTGTTTGCGTCGCGGCCTTCGGGGCAGAGGTGCCTATCCCTTTCCCTGTTCCCCTGTGTCTCCGGTGTTGGGTCTAGGGGAAACCAGTGCTACCGTTTTGGCTAATGGTGTTAGCAAGTTCGGGGCAATGGTGGTGTGGGGGGAGAGGTTGATTTCTTTTGGCGAGGGTTTGGTCTGCTCTCAGGTTGGGTTCGGGGCTTGGGTTTCCGTTTTAGCTAGGTGGTTCAACATTTTTAGGAGCGGATTTTTCCTTGGGGTCAAGTTTTTCGCTGGCTTTGTTCGGTTGATTTGCTGAGAAAGGGCTCGTTTTGTTTGTTATAGTTGTTTTTGTTTCATTTTAGTTGTGTTTCTTTATTTGCTTTGTTTGGTAGGATCTGTGTTTTTTGTTTGGGCGTGTGGCCTCTATTTATACCCGAGTGAGAACGGGTATTATTCCGATGGGATCGTTGATTCTCCTATATGGGAGCTTTGTTGTTTTGCTTATGTTGTGTTTGATTGTGTTGGTCTAGCGTTGCTAGGTAGTCTCTAGGCAATCTCCGGATCTTGTTCTCCCAGTCTTTCGGCTATTGGTTGTATCTTTCAGCTTTTGGCTGGCTGTTTTGCACTTTTGTGTGACTTATAAAATCCCTATCGTTATATTTCAATAAGATTTCAATGATTATAAGACTGGAAAAATAATTCCAACATAAATTCGTACAATTGAGAAAAAAATATTGGAATCATTATATTTCAACTAGAATTTTAAGATAAGTTTATTCCAAACAAATATTTTGGTGTTGTCCGTTGGAATTTTCAAATGAAAGGCATAACACTCAAATATCTTTAGAAATTTCGGCTGAATATATTTTCATTGAATTATTTGTTAGAATTTCATTTTTATTGTAGTGGTTGTTGGATGCACACTGCCATTTATCATTGTGATGTGCCGAAGACTTGAATTTTGGTTGAACCGGCTGATAAAGAGGTCTCGAGTATCCCTAGGCAGGTGATGATTGTTGGTATTTCAACCAAAAGGAAATCAATCCAATCATAAAATCCATTTATGTCAAATGATTAAGAATCAATCAAATAAAGTGGAAATGTATCAGACTTCATGAATTGGAAATTCTTATTTTCTTTAGCTTGTTTGACTGATTTGTTCTTCAAAACGATCTTGTTGGACTGGTATGGTCTTCCAAACGATCGAAACCTTATAGCAGTTATTTATATGTAGTATATTGTATACGTTTTTTTTTTTATATTCTATTATTTTTGGAGTGAAGATGATAGTGCTTTTAAAGGGAGAAAGCACCTCTTCATAATTCTACTCGTACCATTTTGTTGTTTTGGGCCATAACCAAATAAGTAAGAATTATTGATTTTCAATTTGGTCCCTCAACAAATAGAAAATCCCATAAAGGTATCTACACTTTAAATCCATAACAATTTGGTATTCTCTTTATTAAAAATTATAAATTTAGAAGATAACTTTTATTGAATTATAATATGACAACTATACACATATCATTTTCATATGTTTTCTAAAAAAAAAAAAATTTCTAGCAATCTCCCACTTGGACTACATAGAAAAATGTATTGTTAGAGGTATGCAATAAAAGCTTGGTTTTGCAGGCTCTAGCAATTCCATTATGATATGGCCATCATGTTTCAATCAAAGTACATATGCTTGCAGTTTATTTATTTATGCAATCATACTCTTTGTTTTACATTGAGATTGTGTGGTTCGAAGTGTTTCGAACAGAAAGATCACCTATTGGTTCCTTGTAAGACTAAACTATCCGTTCACAGTCTAGACAGGCAGTGAGACCCTTCTTGGACAAAGACTGTAATATCCCGACTTTTTATCAGTATAAATTATGTTTTTAGTTCCGATATTATTTTTCGGAATTAATTAATTTCAGTTATTTCAGTCGAAATTACCGGAAACTATTTTCAACTTACCGTTTACGTTCGAAATAATTTTGGTAATTAAGTGTTATGCTTAATTATTTGATTAAGCCTTAATTATGATTAATAGTAAATTAATCATCATTAGCATTGTTAAATGCCGTGCGGTTCTTATGTATGGTAGTGGAGCATCTTTGCTATTCCAAGTAATTAAAGGTCGTGCGTCCTTGTCCTTTAGCCGTGCCCTCCTTTGTCTTCATGCTAGTGTTGTTCA